AGTTACATTGATAGGCCTATGTGGACTAGTGACTTTAGGCATTTTTACATGTGTTTTGAGTTGGGCTCTTTTTTCTCTCCCCCCACCCTTCTTTTTTTTTTTTTTTTTAAACACATGCTGCAAGAACCACTCTAATTAAAGTGCCTGGAGCATCTTGTGTTTCAGTGTCCCTGCACTTCAAAAATGGTGGCGGGAGCTCTTTATCTAAAGCTTGTTGAACAAGTTTTAGTTGAAGCACCCCCACTGCCATTCTGAAGTGTAGGGGTGCTGATACACAAGATGAAGAGGCTGGCTGGAGTGTGGACTTGATTAATCGAGTCTGCTCTGACACACTGTAATTACAGCATGTCAGAGCAGCCTCCTGGCTCATGTATTGGCACCCTTTAAAGCCAGATTGTCTCATTGTATTGATTAAATAAACTTCTAACTCTCTCATTTGACTGCTGTCAGTACAAAGCCCAAAACAAAACAGTTTAGTGATATGTCACTGCCAAACTTAACGGGCATGTCTGCACCATCCTGAGATGTGCTAGGCAATGGTATATCACACCCAATTCAAGCACTACTTTACTGGTACATACCCAGAGCTGTGCTTATGTAACTACATAACTATTTAGGAGGCTATAAGCAAGTTGCTTAGCCTGCTAGTAGTGTGTGATATACATATTAGTTTTTATAAATATCAGGAGCCTCTCTCTCTCTCTCTCTGAAGGTTTGGAGTCCAAAAAAGCCTTTAGATATTCAAGATTCTAAGTCAAATCAAATATGCACTTCCTGCAGTTTATTTTCAAGCTCTAAGGGAAGACTTAGTAACTGAATATCTGAACGACTGACTAAATATCTCATGAAGAATAACATCTTAGAAAGCTGGAGGTGTAGGTGGTAATACCTTCAGATTTTAACTACTGCACTACCGCTGTCACATATTGAGCTAAAACTTTGAAAGGAAGGCCAAAAAGAGGTACTTCTTACCAGTTGTAGTCACTGGTATATTCAATTTTCATTTGGTTGGCTTACCAAAATATTGAAATAAATATTTTAAATTGAGACCAGTCAAATCAACTGAATTCTGAGCTATACATTTTTAAGAAAGGGTTATTTTTTTCTTGACCATGAGAAGGAAAAAATGAAGGAAGGAAACAACAATTCCTAATACAGTATTGAAAGAAGGAAAATAATTTCTACCTCTTAACACTTTCCTCATAAGAATAAATGTAGTAGAGAAAGACAAAGCTGAAATGGAATGAACGGAAACCAAATCTGGAGGCTGGTCTTAGACTCCTTTATCAGAAGTAAATCTACCAGGGAAGGAGGGGTATTTCCCGTAAAGTTTTTTTTAAGAAGTGTAGTTATCCTTAAGGTTTAACACCTTGCTAACCTACCATTTTCACTTGCCAATTTAAGCAGAAGCAGGTGTAAGCTTTAACTGTTGATACCTTTTTCTGCATGTCAGAAGAAGTGTTAGAAGAAAGTCATCTTCTGGTACCTGGAAGTTAGCTTTCTAACATTAACTTGCCTAAGCAAGGCCCAAGACAGATCTTCCCTCTGACATGAAAACGTTGAGCTACCTTTTGAAGTCCCAGTACCTTCTTAGGGGCTAGCTCCAACAAAATGAGCTGGCTTAGGGTACAGACACTCCAGCTGTTTAATTATAAGGGAATTTTTCCCTTACACAAAGCAGAGCTTGAACTTAGGTCTGCCATCCTCAATTAGTTTCCCCATAAACACTTACCAAAACAAGACACAGAATAACAATTAAAAAATGAATGAAAAATTTGATTTAAAGCTTTAAGGCTAGCAGGGAAGTACCTAAGTTCATATATTCTGAACTTTAACAGCCCATAGAATTTCACTCAGTAAGTCTTTCATTAAAAGGAAATAAAATTAATAAAAATAAAAATATTTATATGAATGTAATCACATTCAAAGAAAAAGAATTTGCATTAGTCAAAGAAAATTGAAGTAAATAAAAAATATCAGTAAGTAGTTAGTATTTCAATGTATTTTTCCTGGGTTTTAAAAGATACAGTGAGCATAAGTGTTAACTGTTGACATCTTTAGTCGCTAAATATATATTTATAAAAAACATCAACCTTTTCCACTATGAGGAGGTCTCCAACTTGTATGTCTGAACTCTTAACTTGCACTTTACCTTAAAGAAAAGAAGAAGTTTAATCAACTTAAGCAAACAATAATACCATCACAAGAATACAAACTTTAAGACACTACTATTATTTTGGGAGAACAATGTTATAACCCCCCATTTAAATGATCCCATTAAAAAAGGGTAATCAAAAGTAGCTATAAACTGTTTTAATTTCTCACTGAATTATTCATCCTAACAACATATGCAAAATGCATGGTTTTACAACTATTCATCATACTGATACAACATGGCTCTGGAAGTAAAAAGCCAAAGATACTCATTTATTTTACTGAACTAACATAGGGCTCAAATTGTATTGAAAAAAATCATATGGAGCCCTTCAGCTCCTCTGTTACACCAGCAATTCAAATTCTGGCCAACTCAGAAATTGACACCTGAACTGCTCTGGAGTGCTTTAACTGAAGTGAGCTGTTAGTCACAGCCCAATTAGCAATATGTAACTTTATACATTCACAAAGAAGTCACTGATGCAACTGGCATTAATTGACACCATTATTGGCAAGTCATATTGGAGGAATGAAATCAAGGTTTCAATGGGTATAGGGAACAAAATACTCTCTGACCTCAGGAGGATTCCTAGATCAGGAAATTTGCATTGCAGCTCTCTATGTTTAACTTGTCTGAAGTTATAAAACTTCACTTTGCAGATGTCGGTTAAAAAATTGCTATGAATACCAAATTCATTTTCAAAAGATACTCACAGCATTTATGCAGCAAATTAAATCTTAAAAAGCACTTTACAAACATTAACTAATGAAGCCTCAAACAAACCAACAAAACAGGTACATTTTATTAAAAACCATTTGATGAGTGGAAAAACTGAGACAGAGAGGTTAAGTGACTTGCCCCAAGCCTCAAACTGAGCCACTGATGGGCTTGAATTAGAATTCAGAAGTCTTAAATCCCAGCCCTGCGCTCAAATCACTGCTTCTTTCCTAAAGAGAATTAAACATATACAGATATATGCATAAAGTAAGAAACATACTACCAGTATCAAATTAAGGAATCCTTAACTAAAGAGGAAACTACATATACATGTCTTCAAGAACTGCACTAGAAACCTACATAATAATGCATTTGCTTCTCCTTTGAAATTTGGAAGTATTTTGAAAAGCTATTATGTATCTTATAAAGAGTCAATAGTATTTTTACCTTTTCAGTTAGATAAAAAAAAATTTTATAGGCCAGGATTGAATAACATTCATATACAAC